TATGTAAAACAAAATTTTGGAAAATCTAAATGTAAACTAACAATGACATTAAACATTTTTCAGACTTGAAAATGGCCCTAGTGATGGTTGAAACGTTGTCGTAATAAAATAATTAATAAATAAAATGTTGGTGAATAATAGTATAATTTATGTAAAAAATAAAATATTATTATTAGTTATTTTTTAGATTAAGAAAAAAAAATATTTATTTATTAAACTGTTTTTATTTATTAACAGCTACCATATCTGTAATCCGCAAACAAAGAACACCATGTTACATTCTTGTATTTGTTCAGGGAGCCAATTTTCCTTTGAACTATTAAAATTTTCTTTTAGTTACTAAATTATTTAATACAAAAAATCTCATGGTGTTCTTTACCTCCGGTGCAAAGATATATGTTATTTATATTTATATAACTTAAATTTCTGAAAAAAAAGTAGTTGATAAGCATATTGTATTATAATTAAAAAAATATATTTTTGTATAATAAATTATATTATCATTTCAAAAGTAAAAAAAGATTCATTAAAAAAAAACTGGTAAGAAATTGAGCACGATAAGGAACATTCTTTAGTTTCAGATTACTAAGTTGTCTTTCTTTAAAAAAAAAAAAAAACGGGAAAATTAAAATTTTATTTTTAATTACAAAAGTTTTATCTCATACAAAACACAAATTTATGATCGTTGGCGTACAATATTTATATCGAGATTGTTATTCAAACATGGTGAAACAGATGAAGCTCTAATGGAAATAAAGATTTATCATCAACATAAAGATTCTATCTTGTAACATTAAACGATCTTCAATATCTTCGACTCCAGCCGACTTTACACATCGGAGATCTGACGGCTCAATGTATGTGATTCACTTTCGATTTAAAAAAAAGTGCAAAACGCGCTTAAAGAAGTTTCCACATAAAAAAATTAAGATAATTATAAAAAAGGGAAAAACACTCTTATAACATTAAATTTATTATTTTGTTGAGAGATAGGAAACCTTTTTTTTACCAAAAACCATTGATATATTTTGAAAAAAACAAAACAGTAAATTTGCAGTTTTATCCTATTTACTGTTATCGGTCACAAATTTGTTTTCAAGAATAAAGACATACATGTCAGAGATATTAAAACGGCATAAATCTGATCTAATACACATTAAAAAATATATATATATATATAAAGCAAATATAATATAAAAATATATTTTTATGTATTGAATATTTAATAGTTGACTGTTGGATTATATTTAATAGTTGACTGCTGGATTATAAAGGAAGGAGATGGTCCGGGTTGGCGTTCATAAATAGGCTAAATAGTGGTAAAACTGTTTTATTAAAAGCCGACGTTTCGACCCGACTTTCCAGGTCTTCTTCAGGGCTAGAACGGACAAGATACAAAAAGATAGAGAATTGTGGCAGTTACATAATATTTGGACAAAATTTATAAAAAATGTGAATAAGCTTATTGAAATTATAAACAGTAAGTACATTAAAATATGAACACAGTAAGCTAAGTAACAAGATCCTAAACTGAAGTAAATAGATGCTAACAATTGTTGCAGTGTAATATATTATAAATGCAAATGTGAATATACTTATACAGATCTACAGGAAAGATTGAAAGAAATGGAAAAAGGATATAATATGAAATAATATACACAAAGGAATGTGGAGAAAGAAAATATTTTTGTGTGGCATCCATATACAATATAGTTGAAATCTAAATTTAAGACAAATGATACCTCAAGAAAACATAAAGCATTATCAATCCGAGAGAGACTAGAAATGGATTGTGCCATACGATAGGAGCCATTGCACTTATGAAACTAGTGCAGTTCATTGGGTTAATCAATCCAATTGAACCTAATAATGGAAGCTCAAAGTAATGGCAAGCAATGCATCCGCCAGTAATTTTATGATGGAACGAACCGAGTTCAAATGGTATTTTTTCTACAAACTTATCTTGGAAATAATAATATATGTGACCCATAACGAGCAGAAAACCTTCACTGTTTATACTTAAGCTTAAAATGAATAACATTACAGATATATAAGGCGATTAGAAATCACACTATCTTAATCTCTAGCTGTGCTCTAGGCATCCCATGAATTAATAGGAGATTGATCTAAATTTATGCAAAGTAAAATATAAACATTTAAAAAACTCAGATGCAATTTGGTCATGATACAATTCTGAAATAAAATTATTAGAATGAATAATGTTTTAATAACAGTTGTTTAAAACGCATTAATATTTATAAGACTCGGGAAAAAAAAATGATAAATCAAAAACAAAAGATGGCAGTGGCTATACCGTACCCACAAAAAAAAGTTTTGTATTTTAACTTCTACTAGATTAATGGTTATGAACATGGCCTCCGTAACATAATCATGTAATATCCTTGATATTTTAATAGTTTTTAAACAATTTAAACGTGAATGGAATATACCCTATAAAATATGCACTAATTCATACGATCCAAAAGATATTATAATATATACCATTATTTTAACTATTTCTATAAATGATGTAAATAAAAACAAATTACGTGGATCATAAGAACAGAAAAATGGCTCAAATATAGATAACAACGAAAATATAAAGGAAGTGATAGTTTAAAACAATTAATGTAAACATAATAATACAAAACTAATAATAAAAATAATAATAGGTTAAATTTTATTTTTTTCAAAATTATTTGTACCGTTCATTTGCTTGGTTTTAAGTGTGGACAAAACACGTTTTTTGATCTAACAAAAAGACTAAGTTAATTACTTCCACTTTTAATGTGAATTACATCAATCTATTTATCCCTACATATATGAATATGTAATTATGATAGATATTCCCTTATAAATACATGTAGGAGACGGTAGGCGGCTCAACGATTGAAGTGAAACTAAACGATAATTTGATAACATGAGCTATCTGATTGAAACAAAACAATCAGACAATAGTGTTCAGTGAAAGCGTTACAATCCGTATTGAAACAGTTTTCATCATAAGTACATTAAAAAATATAGAAAATATGTCATAGGAATCGATGTCATGCAAATTTATTTTTAAGCATTAAAAGTAATATGAACATTAAAAGAAATACTTGATGTCCCGCGTATTGTATTGAATTGAATAAATAAAAAAATATAAAGCGTTTAATTAGAAGGTTTCGAGGCCATCTTCTTTTGCGACCCCTAAGAGGATTATTAGGAATCATAGAAGTAAGATTAGAAACCAGACAGATAGGTCTAGAGTTCAGTATGGAAGATTTCATATTTGACAAAATAAGAATCCTTGAGGATTTTTATTTTAAGGATTGGATACGTAAGTCATGTGAATGACCCTTTAGTAATTAATTGGAAACTTATTGGGCTCGTTTTGTATGTGTTGAAGCCGATATCGGCCTTAGACATTTGTCGCCCCCGGACAATGACTTTATCACCCCCATTCCTTAAAAGAAATCAAATTTGTTTCTCGAGCTGTTTTATAATATGAATAATCGAATTTCATTCCATTTATCTTATGAAATTCTTTTATCAATAGGTTTTTATTATTTTTTAAATACATAACAAGTCGCAAGCGCCCCTGAAAACCGGTAGCCCCACCCTAAGGCCGGCAGTGGTTGAAGCTGTCGGAAACCGAGCAGTTTCTTGGAGTTTCAATCATATACGAGGATAGGATTACAAGATTTATGTCTAGGGGAAGAATACGGTAGGGGCAGGAAGTAATAGCTTTCCGAAGGGTAAAGATGATATTGATTAAATTAGTGTGATTAAATTGTTTGTGGTGCAATTGATGGGTCATTATTAACAGGTAACAAACATGTGTTGTTAGCTTACGAGATGAATATGGTGTATGGATGGGTTGGAATGTCAGCTATATAAACTGTGTACAGGTTGGAACCAAGGAGCTACCTTGAGGAATATCAGCATACTGAGAAAAAAAAATTAATAGGCGCATTGTGGTATACCAGAATTTATTTCAATAAGATAAGAGTAAAATATGAGGAAGTATAAGAAGTAGGAATTTATTAAGCAATCCTGAGTACCACACTATTTCAAATTATATATATATATATATATATTTTTTTTTTCTTTTTTTTTTCGGTTGGCGCTACAGACCAGATCTTTGACCGCGAGTGTGATATCCTGTACCACATCCCGATTCAAAGTACGGGTTAGGGTCATCAATCCTACGCCCGATTGGTGTGAATTGCCTCCAGTAGCCTGACGGGTCTCACATGCCCGGGGAAGGGAAGGAATCTCGGACAGCGTGGCTTTGCATGGTGGACGGTCACCCATCCAAGTGCTAGCCACGCTCGGCGTTGCTCAACTTTGATTACCTATTGTAAGCGCATATCACCACAACCCATGAAGGGTCTTGGGTTCAGTACAATATGAGGAAGTACTGTTACAAGGCTAAAGATTGTACAGGGAGGTGATTGGGCCGATATCACGCTAAACTGCCAAGTTAATGCCCCAGGAAGGTCTCCCGATTAGTGTTGCACAAAATCAGTCTTGGTCTTGCAAAGTGCAAGGTCCACCTAACTGTTGCAAGACCAAGACCAGGACTGGTAAGAAATATCGATTTTTTAAATAAAAATGATGGCAAAATAGTTACTAATACTTGACAATCTTAGTTAATATATGTAAATAATTGGTGTAACCAATATACTTTTGCATTTAACTCCTCCAATTTTTCATTCGGGCTTAGTTAGGTTTCTCCTAATTAAAAAATTACAGTAATATCTCTATAGTAATAAGCTAATAAGTAACTGCAAGACTGTTGCGAGACTCTTGTGCAAGACCAAGACCATGACCAAGACTGAATTTGCAAGACCAAGACTCGTCTCGGTCTCGCATTTGGGCAACACTACTCCCGATCCCAGAGTCTGGAAGTCAATCAAATCCACTGAGCTACCCCGCTTCCTATATACACATAATTGTATGTTTTGCATATTTTAATAATATATTGTTCCTTATCCCTAAACTTCTATTCGTACCTGATGAAGATTGTTCTGCTTGTGGAGCTTGCTGATGTCATACTTGTGCCGCCAAAGGAAGAGCGAGCACACATTCTGAGCTATCTTGCCCGCAGCTTCCTTGCAACCTCCTTGGCAGTGCTCCAGCATCACCTGACAGTCTGCATCACCTGAGAGCAGACCTTCTTGTACCCCAAGCCACAATTCGAAGAATCAATTATGAAACTCTGAGTGCGATTCGTAAGTCATTAAGGAAACCACAAGGTGTTGTCGAATTTTTATTTAAAATATTTAATGTAAAAAACTTTCAGTGAATAGAAATTTTCGAAATAAAATAGTAATTGTAGGAAAAAATGGTTTAAGAAGCAGAGTAGATTTTTTAGCCCAAGTTTTAGGTCCTAATCTGAGTGGCAAGTGTAACATTTCTGAGACTCGTAACATATCACCCTTATTAAGTTCTAAAACTTATGATCATCAATGACTGACCATCCAACCAACTTCAGCCAGAATTCTTCCACTAGTCAATAGTTGTAAAGTAGTGATGTTACAAAGATTGTGCGAAAGTATACATTAAAAAAAAAAATCATAATATGTAGGGAGTCTCAGTTCTTGATGGCCAAGCTTTGGAAGTTAATTTTAGACATAATTTCCAACAAAAAGATTCGTCTGATGCATGCGGCGATTCGGAACGGAAAAGAAGTTAGGACCAATTTTGTTTTTCTTAAGGTAGTCCCGGTTTGTATTAAATAAGAAAGATTTGCTCAAAAAATGTTGAAGAGAATCAAATTCTAAGTATAACATCATAAAGTAGACAAAATTTCGTTTAGAAAACAGCGATTAAATTCAGGAAGTCTAATACGACCGCTGCACAGAGATATGCTGTTCGGGTATGACTACTGTAACTACAGCCGCACAGCAGAGGTATTAGATAGGAAAGTCCTTTTTATTATTGACCTTAGGAAATTTAATCACTGTTTTCTCAACAAAATTTTTGTCTACTTTACGATGGCGCACTTAAAATTTGATTATCTTGAACAGTTTTTAAGCAATTAATTCTCATTCAATAAAAACCGTGACTACCTTAAGAAAAAAACCGGTTATAACTCCTTTATCGTTCATAATCGCCACATGCATAAATTTTTGTTGGACATTTTGTCAAGAATCACCTCCCAGAGTTTGACCGTCAGGATCTGAGACATCCTGTATAAATATGTTATACATAAACTCATTTTTTGAAAAATAGCCGTGCAGTATCCTGAAGGTTTTAAGCAATTAAAATAACTGAATTAATCAGAACATTGGAAATACAAATATTTTCAACCGTGTATAGAAAATTTTAGAACAATTAATAAATTTTAATGAAGTTGGAATTGTTCTTCAAAATGCTACCGAATACACCGAACATCGAATGCTACACCGAAAGTATTGTTCATCGCACAAACAAAATTACAAAATGAAGTAACAGAAACAGCCCAACAAAATAAAATATAACTTATTTCTGTGAGCAAGAAAAGTCCGCTTTTATCTAGAAATCGCGAACTAAGAAAAGTACTGAAACCACCATTACCAAATTTTAATGATTCTATCATGTTCGTGACCCCTGGAAGTTATGACAATAACAAAATCTACCTATGTTTCATACTAATTTCAATAATAATTCTATAATTGATTCTTTAATATTATAGCAATAAATTAGCAGCTGAAAAATATTGTTAAAATAAGGTCTTAAAAACATTTGAAGTTTTTTAAGTAAGCAACCTATAAAAAAAAAAAAAAATTGGAATAATAAATTGCCTTTTTAATATAGCCAAAAAAACAACAACATTGAATGAATCTCAACAGATACTACTACCTAACTAACTTAAACTTTTTTTCGCAATAAAGACGAGAGATTTTTTTTTTTTTAAAGTTTTAAGTAAAAATTCATTTTTTTTTTATCCTGGATAATGTTAAAGAAATACAAGACATGTATAATACAATTTAAATCGAGTGAAATTGCAGGGCTCAGCCATTAAATATATATTCGCACATTATAATTAGCGTTAGAGAACGTTCATTAATATTAATCCTTTAGTAAACTGATAGAATAAATTCCGAAAGTTATTGACCAAAGAAGTAAATTGACGACTAAGTGAAAATTAATTATAAGTATGAATTAAATTAAAACGCTGTAGAAAGATGACTGGTTGAACGCTTTCAGACCTGCACTATTAAAAAATTTCTCTATACTTTCTTCTATAGAACATTAATTGGGTCGTACTAACCTTAGCATACGGAACAGCCAGCGGCCTACATTATTTGGATAAATGAGTTGAAATTATTCTTTATCAACAAGGATGTTATTATTTTTTTAAAAATATTTTATTAAATCAAAAGACATCGTTCGAAGAGTAAAATAGGAAGGGAAATAAGTGAACAATGGAAAACCCAGAAGAGAGTAAAAACTGTGGAAATCTTCAGGATTTCATCTTACTATGGAACTTTAGAGAATGAAAGCGTAACAAGAGATCCATCTAAAAGGAAAATCAACCTTGGGATCACAAAGTTTAACAGATCATAATGTTGCAATACGTTAATAAATTTGATATCAAGGATTAAATCTGTGGATTACTAGAGCTGTTTATTTACATTGGTTACAAAAGAGAATTTTAAAAAAATAAATAAAATAAAGATTTAATTCAAATTATTATCCTCTAATTCAGTTCATTTTTAATTATCACCATATTTTTATTTTTTCAACTATCCAACTCTATACAATAATATTCATTGTTGGGATACAACAAAATCAATACAATTTTATAAATTTAGTAAGGTATTTGTTAAAAACAAAAATCTACCTCCTACCGTAATTAAATACAAATCATATTCGAAAGCAGATTTGTTGAAAATGAAAATTTCACATTATGTATATATCTGAGATTGAAATGGAAATTAATTTCTATTTCTAATCTATTCTGGCGTGACTAGAACTATTTCTCAATTTTAATTTAATAAAATTGGAAATTTTTGATTAAATGTTTTACAAAACATTTATTATTAAAAAAACATTTACTTTAATTTATTTGTCCAAAAAAATAAACATGAAATATGGTGAATAAGCAGTAAATTTTTAATTATGAAATATGCAATTCATTCAAAATAATTAAATTTATAATTTAAGCCCAATAACTACTTATCATCTAAAGTAACTTTTTAAAAATAAATAAATACTAGTTAAACTTTTACACAAAAATTTCAATATATAAAAACGTCCTGTAAAACTTATATTTAAAAAAAATGTTTGATCGAAACTATTAAAATGTAATTCAAAAAAGATTCATAACATTTTACCAGTTTCGATCAAACATTTCTTTTAAGAAGTTTTAAAATATAAGTTTTACAAGACTTTTCCTGTATTAAAGTTTTACACAAATATACACACAGTTCGTATATACACATTAAGAAACGTCAAAACGTACTCGCCTACGCTTTAAGGTTTTCATAAACTGTCGCCACCAGTGGTATTTCGTAATACAAATAGAACTTGTATTTTCCAACAATACAATCAAATTTGAATGAGGGAATATTTATCTTCACCCACTCGGTAAAATCAAACAAGTGGGATGTAATTGAATTAATGCCACGATTTCAAGTAGTTTTGACACCTTTACAACGCCGAATAATTTAAATATTTTTTTTTTTGGATGACAAGGCTAATTCACAATGATTTATTCGATCTATGATAATAGAATATTTATTTTTATTTACGAAATTTGTTATTTCAATATCTCTTATACTTCTCTATATATATATATATATTTTTTTTTTTTAAACCTAAGGGTGGAGAAACGGCCGACTGAAAATTCTTATAAAAAAAAATTAGTTGGGAGATTCCAGTAGTTAGATGTATACCTAAAAAGTCTATATGGTCTTTGTGGTGTCTTTTATTTTAAAGTTTTAGGCCTTCATGAGATCCTGCTCGATCTATAGATCGATTTATCCACAGATCCTATAGATACTATAGTAACCAATATCCTAGCCTCCTTATCAGAAATTATTTTTGGATGAGTAATGCTAATGACTGCAATCCTCAACCAAATACTCTTATAGTACAGAATATCTTGGTAAAGAAAGGAAATTGTGTTTCCGACAATAAAACGAAAGGGTGGAGTATGAGAAGCAAATTTGTAAAATAATCAGTTAGCAAGCGCAATAAACAAGATAATGACTAACAATTACCCTCTTTGGCTATATATAGTCGAAGGCTTTATAGCAGTCTAGCAACTCCATTACAAAGCCAATGAACATTTCCAGATGTTATGCGAGCGGAATGGCTGGCTGGCACTTGTAATAATCTCGGTTCAATGCTCAGGAGTTCTTCCTGAGTACACCGCTCAAAAGAGGATCGTGCCTTCATTGGCAGTACCATCTGGGTGGTCAGCCGGGTAAGTGTTGCAATCAGGGGCAGGTGAAAGCAATTAGTCTCGTTGTATCAGCTATTACGGTTAGCAGCGGGATATCTGACTGCTTGCGTTGCAACAAAATGGTGGAATTCAACAGTGAAGAAAACGACCATTGGGTCGTTATCGCGTATTGTACGAACTCTATAAGTAATATACATTATATATATACATATAGACTACAGTAGTATAAATTCTCGCTTTCAGGAGCGATGAGTTCTAATGAATGAAGTATTAAAAGAAAATAAATTTCTTGGAGAAGTGAGCAATCATAATTAAAAAACATAAAACATTAAAAAGATGGAAATACAAAAAAAGTCGTTGAAACAATCAGGAGGTCGGCAACCAGATCATTTCAAAAGTCGACGGATCGACATAGGATAAATTGTCTTTTAAATATTGTGAAACGAAAATCAAGCACAATCCCGAATTTAAAAATCCTAAAATGAACCATTTTTGAGATAATGAACCCAAACATATACTAACCATAATGAATTTTGATAACACGGTTTCCATGGATTAGTGATCACATAAAAATTAAAATATTTTTCATCGACACCAACACTGAAAAAACCTGTAAGTGCAAAGTATAAAATTATTCCCCCTGAAGAAGACCTGCAAAAGTTGGCTTTAAATAAAATAATTACTTTCACTATTTTAGTCCTTTTATGGCCGCCACCCCAGTGGTACACAGAGTTCTTACTCAAGTATAAAATTATTTATAAGACGAA